ACTGAAAACAATCTGCTGGCCGGGCTCCTCATCCCACGTGCTGCAAAACACTGTTGCCCCTTGGGTGTTAGAGCCTTGTGACCTCTGCTAACATGCAAGCTGGGATTTATTGACCCAGGAGGAGAGAGAGGTTCCCCCTTGTGCTTGTATGGTGCCCCCTTGTGATACAGGGCAGGCAATTCTTCATCAGACTCTGCATGGTGACACAGCAGGGATCTGTTTCCCTCCCTGTCAAACAGCATATGAATGATCAACGGCAGGCTGTGCTGGCAGAGTGCTGTCCCCACGGACCTGCTGTGATGCCCGCGTGCCATAGACAGTCTTGCAGTGAAGGTCTTTTCAGTAAAACATGCTATGTTTTCCAGTCTCTTGTCCGCACAGAAGAATTGACCGTAATGCAAACTCTTCTGACATCGGTATTATACCCTCACTCAGGTGCCACGTTCCGTCTCTGGAGTGGGGAGACTGGGGAAAACTGAAAACAGCTGTCAGGGCACGTACTGTTCTCCCAGCTCAGAACTTGGCACAAAACCTTTGCAAGGGTACAGGCAATTCACTCATTAGCACGCTGAGGCCAACCCACCTCTAGCTCCTTCATCTGTAGCCTTGACGGTTGGCTTAGTGGGCTAAACATCCAGTTTGAAATACCTAGACTCCCTTGAGCCACTGGCTCAGAGTCTAGCAGAGCTGCCTCAGACCTTTGGTATTCAGAGCTGGATCATGCTGTTAAGGGTCTTTCGCATGAGAGCTCCAGTCAGGCTGTTCTCCACGCTGTGCCTTGGCGCGTTTGGGAACAGTAGGGGTTTGTCTGTCCTTGGCCAGATTTTCTAGACACCTCACTGTTCTGCAGTGTGCTATGCACTGGTTGTTCCCTGGGCTGTTCGTCTCCACCCCAGAGGGGGCTGCATTGTTGTTATGGTACTAAAGTGCTATGGGGTTCTTTGGGCTGAAATAGGCTGGAGAGATAAAAGTTACTGTTCTGACCTTGTATGCCACCCACCAGTGGTGTTGTCATGCACCCCTTTGCATTGGGAGGGGGACTTTAAGATGGGGTGGGGGCGTAGCTACCTTTTCCCGACCGTGTGAAGGGTTGAACTATTTGCTACCTCAAGGAGCAGGTGGAGGGTTTGGTTTTCCGCCTGCAAGGCCCTTTAAGAGACTGAGTCAAATAGGCCTCAAAGGGACTCACCGGAAAGTGTGGAACAGTCTTTTCCCTGAACATGTCTGTTAGAACAAAGTGATCAGTTGCCTGCTTTTGATTGAGAGTTAGCACAGCACATATAATCCACCAGCCACATACAGCACATTGGTTTGGTGGGGTCACACCAGGGATGAAGACACCCTATTGTCTCCCAGGGTGAATGCTCTGGGCTTCTCAGATCTCCTAGATCTGCATGTTCATCTGTTGTTAGACTAAGACAAAGGGTTTCTAAAGGTGCAGTTGGGTGCCTGTTGGGATTTTCAAAGGCACCTAACTCCCATTTTGCTTTTGAAAATCCCATTAGGCATCTGTCAGCATTAGGTGCCTAATTACCTTTACAGATCTGGCCCTAAGTGTTTTTATGATAAGTCTTAAAACCTTGCAGTGGAGTGAATGACCCTGAAAAGGAACAAACAATTGAGAGCGTGGTGGGTATCAATCAAGTTCATTGTAGAAATAGGCCCAACTCCCCCTGCCACTAGAGAAGATTCAAACTATGTAGATTAGGCCCATCTCATGTTCCTAGTAGGCATCCACATAAATAAAACCCTTCCCAACTGTCAATTACTGCACCCATTGTTGTTGTTCCAGGCCTGAGCGAGGGGCGTGGAAACTTAACTAGCCCCTCCCAGCTAAAAAACAAGAAGCCATTGGCATAAATTCCACAGAAAGGCTGGGACAAAGTTAGCCCTCAGTTTTACCCTCCTTGATTTTGAGGCCTCAATGAATCCCATTTTCAAATCAATTGTGCTCTGCATGTGGCCTTTCTCCCAGGGAGCATTCAGCAAACAGCTCCATAAATCATGGTCACAATTAAACAAATGGTTGTTTCCCCTTGAAACAGCCTAATCGTCCCACAAATGGCATGGGAAACCTCATAATTCCTCTTGCAAAGCCCTTATAAAACGTCCTGTCTCAACGTGGCGCCCTGAAGACAGTAGGCTGCTTTACATTCCATCCCCTCTGGCAATGTGCTGGCCAGTTTGTGGCCATTTCTTTTTGTGGGTTGTCCAAATGGATGTCAAAATGCTTCTGATCTATTATCAGAACGGCCAAGGGACAAACCAGCAGCATAGCTTAGTGTCTTGTGACATTAGGTGTGAAACCAGGAAACACCTCTGGGTTGAAAGCAATTTTCTTGCAGTTCTAAGATTTTTCTGGAATTTACCTTTTTTTCTTTTCCTAGTTATGTGTGTGCACTTCCCCCGCCCTGAGGCGCCCTCCCCCCCCGTGGCAACTTCCCCTTCCCGGGGAGCCGTGAAGCA